AAAGAGTATGGATGATGTTCCTCAAAGGGACGAAAGTACTCCCCACCCTGAACCCCAGGAGAGCTTGAAAATCAGCCATCGACGGGTGGTAATGAGTAGGTGGAAAATCAGTTGTTGGGGGCTGCCAGGCCAACCGACCCGACCGTGAGGCGGAATTCAAGGCTGAGCTCAACAATAATTTCCGTGATGCAGGCGGACGAAGGCAGACTAGGCTCGACCTTGCTCGGCAACTTATCAGGCGAGAGCGATCTCCCCCTCTGTGGTAGACATACGATGCTGGATCGAGCTTTCTCCAACAGCGTTACCAGCTCCACTGAGCTGATAGCTTTGGGATATACTCGTCCCTTCGAAGGCCAGGTGGTTCACGGAGCCTCTCGACTCCTCTTTCTAAGGAGAACAACAACAAAGCCGCCAATCAGGGAAATCTTCCGGAAGCCCACACCGAGCCGCCACCAACGGATCCCTCGACTATCAGGATGGAAGAGTTGCTATCAGTCCCAGTCCGGGAGGACTTAACAGAGTGACAATAGAGTTAGACTTGCTTTCACTTGGCCTCTCTCCTCGTCCATCGGAGGAAGACAGTCAACGCGCGCCGCTGTGGCGTCACGGGCGACCGAAGGCTCGACCATTGGCCTTCCCCAACGAGAATTTATTTCGAGCTTAAGGATCGGATCCCCCTTTACCCGGTCAGAGAACGCTGGTTTCGAAACAGCTCGGTGAGCTGTGATTCAGGTGCGAAATGAGATCCTGCACCCCTTGGGAGTTATGGTAACAGCTGAGCTTCTCGACCGGACGCCGTCGCCAGACCAGAAAAAAACGACGGTATTTGAGGTTATTGCGAGGAGGTCGAGGAAAAATAGCCTGTCCAGAATTTTTCTTGTCCCAAACGCGATATTGGTCCGTAACGTCGCGGAAGATCGAATTCCGGGAAATGGTGAGCAGGACCGAAAGGATGGCTCGCCTAATTCGTTCGATCGAAGAATACAAAAATATTTCTAAGCAGAAATTGGCGTAGGTTCCGTAGAAATCCACACTGTACACTGGGTTGAATACAGAGCTTACGGCGCGAGTCGAGCCCGTATCTTTTCCATCATATTCTCCGTGCCGGTCCCTAACGTTGTGCTTCCCTGTCCACTCGACGCCTGAACCCCGGCGAGTGCACAGAGGGCAACAATGAGCGGCGGAGAGTTCCGAAAGAGGAAAAGATTGCTACGACGAGCGAGTAGGAAAAGTTCATTTATCTTCAGGACGACGCTGGTCGGAGGTGGCTCCAAGGACGTGGGAGAGACCGCCCGGCGGTCGCTCGGTCGAGATGGAATCGTGTCCCTTTGGTCCTTCTGGGACGGGGCTTCCAATCTGACGAGGCGGGCGGGTCGACCCTGCCTCGGTCTAGGTATTTTTGAGAGGGCGACTCTTGGGGTAGAGGAATAAGGTAAGACGGTATTCGTAATGGGCGCAACGGCTGAGGGGAACTAGACTCCCTTTGACAAGTTCCTCTGTGCGTCGCATCGAGGCTCTTCGGAGTGGCCTTGCAATCGTAAAATTCGTTGTCCCACAACCTTGTTTGGGCTCGTCTAGTCGCGTGCCCTGCGGCGTCCAATCCAAAAGTCGGACTCTATCTGAAGTTCACGACGATGCTTATTACCGAGCTAGCAGCAAACTTCCCAAATAGAGCGTTCAATGGTATCGATAGATCTTCCAATGAGGAGAACCTCATGTCAAGGAAAACGGACAAAAAAATAGGTTTCCGGAGGGTCATTCTATGATATGGAATTCCATCGACCCGAAAAGGACGGGGCTCTCTAGAAATGAGGATCGGGAAAGGGTCGTCGTCGTCTGTCGTCCCATGTCGGAGGTCACAGCCACTTCACGAATTGACGAGCGAAGGCGAGCGAGACAATGCTCCATCGGCTCATTCGATGCGTCGCCGAAGCAACTATGGAGCATCGAGATTTTCCTTCCGAGTTTCGAGAGAAGGGATCGCGGGTGGCCCAGGAATGAAAACGGATAAAAAATTGAAACAGCACCAAAATCTCTCTACGACGATAAATGCGGATGACGGAGAGTTATCTTCGAGAGACCGGGACGACAGTCTGGGGACTGAGACTGCCTGGGGAAAGGGTCTGAGGGACAAGAATGCTCCACATCCGATAGGAGCTGCCTGATTGCTCCGAATCGTAGAGCAGCGCCGCGCCGCCGGTCGCCCCGTTGAAAAATATGCTCCACCACGTAGAGCGCACTCGGTCGCGATTGCTGCCCCGCTCCAAGTCTAGGATCTATCGAGAGTTGGCCAAGAGCCATTCAGCGCGGGATTCTCCATTCGAATCGCTCAAACGGATATATATCCAAAGATCGTCGCTCAGAGACCGGCACCAGTCTGAAAAAGTGTGCTCTCTCCGGAACCGAATACAGTCTCGGAGGAAACGCTCACTGCTGCGCAAGAATAATTTTCGTCCCTCTAAGGGCGGGAATGGAACGATCTCGTGAAACCTTCGCGAGCGATTCCCGAAACAATCAACTTCTCACTGCATCAAAAACAACTCGTCTTGGATCGATCGAAGGTCGAAGACCCAAGACCTTCGCTAGGCCCTCTCGGCTTACCTACCTAGTTATTCAACTCCAGCGAGGCAGGAACGATTGTCAGCACCTCGACGGGATGCAGGGCCCAGATCGCGGGTCAGTCCCGCGCAGCTCACCGCAGAGACAAAGACTGCGAAAATGCCCTAGGTCCGGGTATCACGCTGTTGGAATCGCTGCAGAGATCTCTCCCGCGTGATATGCTTGAGAGGTCTCTCTCGGAACCTTCTTTCTCAGCTGGAAGCTTTGCCTCTTTCCGCGCTCCTTTCAAATTCACAATGGATCCAGAAGGGGACGAAGGGGAGCCTCACTGATTGTAGACTCCATTCAACATGTCTGGCTGGAAGCAGCTCCGTATTTTTAGAAGCAGTCATAATCGCCACGGCGCGGCGGACGCAGTGTCGCCCTACGGTCTACGACGATCTCAGTCAGTCTACTGAATAGATGATATCCGGGGGCATATTCATCGGCTCCGCTCATGATCTGACGCAAAAATCTATGCTCCCATTCGGATCTGGCGACAACGTCCCGACCTGGCGGTGACAATGGTCAAACAGAAAAACGCTCAGAGCTGGCCGGTCAAAATCTACATCGTTTAGGTGTGTATCGCTAAAACAGAAGCGGAATATAGTCCCGAATAGCCGGGGGAATAAGAAGACTGGACACAAAAAAACTAGGAAGAAGAGACGATTGAGACGCCAACACAAAAATCGATGACGCCTCGATTTCAGTTTTTGTCCGACGACACGAAAGGAAAAGCACTGGACCAGGGTGGAGAGACTCCGCGCTTGCGTTCCGACTCGCCTGTGCACTTCGACTGAGCACCGGAAAGCGATGGCTCATTATTTGATCCCTAGGTCTTGAGCGAAATGGCGGCGATGCAATCAGATGGAAAACCTCCACCGCCGCAGTGGAATCGACTGGATGTCGGGGGGTTTGGTTTCGGCCGAGCAGGTGTCGCGTCGCCCGCCACAATCGATCGGGTGAGGCCCGAGGAAGTTTACCATGCGGTACGAATGAGCGTCTCCCTCCGGAATCAGATCGTCCATGAAGACATCAGATTCGACCTCGACCTGAACAATTGGCTGGTCATGTGAGATAGAATCCTTTCATGAGAGCTTCCCGCGACTGTATCCCTCTAAAACCGTCGGACATCAATATCTTGGCATTGAACTCGCTCGATGAGGGACGCATAGAAGAGCTTCGCGTCTTGAGTTCCGTCCGGGATCATGATTCGAAATCCATTGCAGAGCAATCATATCCCTTCCGGCTGTACATCCACTGTGATGTAAGAGCGAGACATTCTGAAGAACTTTGTCCTTCGCTCGAGCGCCTTATGTAAGAAGCGGAGGTCCGCCTGACGAAAGTAGTCGGGAGAGGATATTCCCGAGATCACGTCTCCGGTCGATCTAATTAAAAATAGAACGAGGCTTCTCCCGACGTGAAGCTCGACCACGTCTCGACACGTGGTGGAGGAGTGACGGGTCGGCAAGCCGATATCATCGCCCCGACCAAAGTTCTTGCTTCGAGAATTTGCCTTGTCTGAGCTTACCCAGAGCTTTGGGGACGATGAGGAACACTCGGATACGACGTCTCAGAGCGCTCTAAGAGCCTTAGGTATCGCTTCGAACACACCAGCTGAGCTTACTTTTGAAGATGAGCAGCTAGCTTCGCTCCATGATTTCAACTGCGATCGAGGGTTGATAGCGGGATAAAGTTCGTTGTGTAGCTCGCCCGCCGACCATAGCGCGCATCAGCCATGGGATTCCTCGCCTTCGCAGTGAGATAATCCTTTTAGAGGGACTAAAAATGTATACGATCTCCCAACTGACCACCGCTCGAAACATGCCGAGATTGAGCGTATTATTGAACGCGACCCTTGGATGAGAAACTAGTCTCAATCCTTCGACTTGTATCGACTCCTAGCTCGGGATGACGTCCCGATACCTAAGTTGCTATTTCCATCCAATCGGAGAGCTCATACTTGGCCGCAATGCGTTGCGGGACAGGACTGTGCCACCGTTCTTACTGCGAATCGCTCGTATTGCGTGAACCTGCGGGACTTCATGTTTTAGCGCGGATAACGCGTCACGGCTGCTCGACTGGAACGAGGGATCAGCAGGGAATACAGGGGTTGGTGGGGGAATCCCAGCGTAGCCCCCAACACGATTCACGACGACGCTTTTCCCGTGTCATGAAGAAGGCGGTGTCCGATGGTAGCAATCCTCAACGGATCGACTGTCCTAGCGTCCGAATTGGTCCAGATTATCAGAGGGGACATCATTCGATCAGATCCTTGTGAAAACTTATTCAATCTTCTCCGGAACAGAGGGATTCTCACTAGGGCGCTGGCTATCCCATAGAAACAGAGTCATTCTGTATCGATTCTGCGTTGTCGATTGACTTCACGAAAATCTTTGCAGATGATCCATCGGCGAATTTCCCACGACACCAGCTGCAGTACCTAAGCGAATTAGGCACCGGCTGGTTCGGAAAGGTCGTATCGGGTAAGGCCACATCGTTCGGACCAGTCGTCGTCAAAATCCTGAAAGCCGATGCCACTCCGACGGACCACATAAACTTCCTCCAGCAGGTAAGCAAGTCCTCCCATCGGTGAATCACAGAGGTACTCGAATTGAATGGGAAAGGGTGACTCTTTGTGCACCGCGATTTGGAAATCATCGGTTGTTCAGCTTCTAGAGCATATGAATTACAGGTCGAAAGTCTCAAAGGCAGCGATCATCCTCACATACTGCGATTGCTCGGAAGATGTCTGGAGAGCGATCCATTCCTCCTTATCCTAGAGCTAGCGAAAGCCGATCTGAAATCCTTCATCATCACCCAACGTGAGTTCCTTCTCTTGGTCTGTATATCACACCCCCAGCGAGGAGCGGCGGGACAGGTGTTTTCAGAATGAAACGAAGGGGAAAACGGATGTATCTATAAAACAGCAGTGCAAATCACATGGAAGGTTCCCCTCGCCTCTGCAACATCGATTCGACAAGTATCCGCTTCGATTTAATGGGAGATAAGTCGACAGACACGGATACCACTGGAAAAGTTGGTCTTCGGAGACGTTGACTGAGATTTTCTTTCTCTTCATCCGATTTCTAACGTTTATCGAACTTTCCGCTTCCGGCTGATCGGAACAGGAGCGCGCTGGGGCACGACTTCAGTCGGCCCGCTTTCTACCCTTCGATGAAGAGGTTCCGTTGACCAAAAATATACGGACGGATGGAAGAAAAACGGCTCAACAATTAGATTCTTCTTTTTTTCGGGATCTTGAACCAAAACGAAAGCAGACTTCTTGCTGCCTCTGCCATCGATCGGCAGCGAGAAGTGGCTATCACTGGAGATTTTCCAGCGATTTAAGATCACGATGTGTTCTTTCCCGCGAAAGGAGAGAAACCCGAAATCTAGAGCTATTCCCCGATTTCCATTTCTCGAATTCCGTTCTATTTTTTTCACCGTCTGCTTCCGAAATGTCTCTGCCCCTAAGTGGCCTGGATAGATAGATCAGACGATGATGATCCAGCAGCAGCAACACCGTGCGTTCCTATTGTCTTCGATGCGCAGTACTTTCGCGGTCGGCTAAAGAAACTAGCGGAGCGGCCTGAACGCCTTCATTGTGTTTTTGTAATGCCGTAACAGTTACACGCTTTTCAAGTATCTGGGTCCTTTCGGATCCGCGAGCAGCGCAACTTGAAGGAGTAGCCGCCGCCAGCGGAGACCATGGCTATTATGGACTTAGAGAAGATGAGCGGCTATCATGTTGATGACTCAAGCCAGTGAGCTGGCCTCAATTTTTGACATTCAAGGCCTCGCTGCGGTCATATGGTATGAGCCGCTTGAATGTTCCTACATACCTATGATCCGGTGAACAAAGAATTCATTCCTCGGCCTCGAGACCGCTTAGTGGTCAGCTCCTGGATCAGCGCTTTCTTCGGATGCTAATTCCTCGGTGGCTTATGCTGTCGGCGGCTATGAGCTGGGCGAATGAACTATTGCTCATTGGAAATATTGCATTGTCTGCAGAGTCGCGCAGAGATTCAACTTCATCAACTCCACATACATACGTGGGATTCGGCTCTGGACTCGAGCACTCCGCGATTGATCCCGCACCCCCATCACTCCTGTTATTGGCTGACGCGAACTGTCACAAATATCGTTCCTGGGATTTTTCCCTGATTTCCGTTCGATGCCGATTGATACGTTTGCTACACTATGCGCGGGTGAAGTCAATTCCTCTGAGGAGCCGTGGCATCAGAGCCGCTAGTTAGACAAACTGAAGAGCCCCGAGGGAGAAAAGAGACAGCTATCAGAATCCCCGCGTTTGTCCCGAGCTCGTCGAGTCGACGCTTTGAAAGAGTCCTCTCCATCGAAAGTCGCGTTCCGCCCGGTTTAACCACCGATTCTACTGTGGACAACAAAGATACTTCCTTCACTGCTGCGGTCAACAAAAAGACTCGGAAATCGAGAATAAATTCTTTTTATCGCACCGTCCACCTCCGGAGGTCATGTTCGCACCGTGTGAACAGAATCGCAACCTGATCTCGACTGTGCCCCCAGCAATTGCTCATTTTCGAAAGTCGTTCGTTTCCCTTCAGGGACGCAATTTATCAGCAGTCAATCACTGAGGGTGTCAGGCAATCGGGGCATCTATGCACGAGAGGGAGAAAGTTTTGCGCTCGATTTTCCGCAAGCTTCCTCATTATCTGCGTGGCCCTCCACTCGCGTCGCTGCGAATCGGAAAGCAGTCAAGCTGATGATGGGGAAGTTACCCGCGTGGAGAGCGCTCGGTAGAAAAAGTGCTCTAATAAATCGATTTATCGACGAGGACGCTGCGAAAGATTAGTCTAGCACGCTGTAGCATTCACTCTCATACATATCGAACACGGGTCCTGAAGCGTCGGCGATGATATCGGAGCCGGAGGAAGTCAAGTCTGAATTGGACCATGTTCTTGACTTCCTGCTGACTACCCGCCTCCAGGTGATGCGGATGCTGTCCGATGAGTAGGGATGGGAATTTCGCCACGGGAGATCCTTCGTTCGATCTCTCGAGGCGATGTAGCAAGTACAGATATCGAAATATAATAAACATCTCGTCCCCGGTACCGACGTCTGCTCTAGCGCCGGAACGCTTGAGCAGACCTGAGATTTTCCTCCTCGGGACCTTCACTGCTACTTCCCGCGAGCCTGACCTCGCGAATAAACGGCAAGAGCTAAAACCATCATCATCATCATAATGACAAGGAGGGCGGGTACTCGATGAAAATACTTCCGCAAATGAAACGGGAGCCATCCATGCAAGAGCAGGCTGAGGCAGATAAGAGAAAACACGTGACATTCAATTGGGGCGAGATACTAATCATTATTTGCTTCTTTCCCACAGCATCTCCATTGGACACAGCATTCATTCTTCGTTTGGCGCACGATATCGCTTCGGCGAGCGAATATCTCCACAAACGAGGATTCATCGTCACAGATCTGGCAGCTCGAAATTGCCTCCTGATGAATGATCTACGGACGGTCAAAATCGGGGACTATGGACTCTCGATTGAAAAGTTCCCCCAGGTTCGTACGAATTTTTCCCCCCCTCCTGGAAAAAAACGAGTTCAACAAGCAAGAGGCTATGCATGTTGCGGCCGAGAGGACGAAACGGGTAGCGGAAAACAGCTCACAGGCAGCGTCATCGACTGTCTTGACCCCATTCAGTTGATACTTCACTCAGCCGTATAACGATTCGAACGGCCCTGGACAAGGTCGCAGGCGTCCTCGTCGGGTGTACGTGTTCTGTGTTTCCTTCGTGTCCCTTGCAAGGCTCCCGCTCCGCGCCGTCCTTTTGTTCCTGTCATCTATCATCAGGGCTCGCGAGTGCTCGTTGCGACCGAAGATTGCATCTAGACGCTGAAGTGCGCTTCCGTCGTTTTCCCCGTCGACGGGCAGGGGGACTCTCCGTTGGGAGAGCTCTCTCCCCACGCAAACTTCCATGGATCGTCCCTACTCGTTCAAGGCGTCCAAACTCCGAGCAACAGCGGCATTTTCAAGAGCGAGCCGGAGAGGAGGTGGAAGATCGAGGCGATCAAATATGCGGGCGTTTACGCCTCGGGAACACGTTTCCCGCAGCGAAACTCTGTCGGACACGTCCTCTTCGCACAGAGATTCGAACTTACGGAAAAGTTGTCAATCTTGCCGGGCGTCTCTGAAATCGATACTTTCACGAGCACGATGTGAAATACCCGAAGCCATCGAAGAGTCTTTTTCAAAGACTCATGAGCTCGTCGTGAGCTTGAGCGGACGTTCCCGATTGAATTCTCTGCGGGGAATGTAGCCCCTCAGAGGAGACGAAAACATAACGCTCAGGGAGGCGCCTCGAGTTTCTTGGCGGCCCAATTCGATCTTCGCGCGGAAGCATAGCCGAGATCGTCATTCGCATTTGCGTCTCAGAAGCCCACGAGCTTCTTTGAGAAAACCACGGCTGAGTGGAGGCGAACGAACGAGCTTCTCATCGTCAGCGAATCTCCAAATCTGTGACCCCATGCTCATCCGTCGGGGGGGGGGGGGGAACATCGGTCCACGAGCATCCTGTCCCCCGAGTGAGGGATGAGCTACCCTTGACTATCTCTCGAAGGAACAAGACGAAGTATACATGCTCGAGTATTCTTTTAGTCTCAGTGCTCATCTGGCCATGTCTCGATGTTCGAAGATCGAGCAGAGCTCCTGAAAACGCGACGAATCCTCTTAAATTCCTGACGCCTAGCTGAGCTCTCCCTGGGCGACGCATCCTCTCGACATGAGTGATTACCCACCCGAAACCTGAAAGTATCGTCGTCGAAGCGGATTCTCATCGCCGATCCAAAGAATCCGCAGGGATAGGTACAGGAAAAGGATCTCCTCTCCCGCTCCCTCATCTGATGTCCGCCTCTCGCGGGGGACGAGACAGTCGTAATTCTAGAGATGAGAAAGTTATGCGCGGGAATATAAAAACGTCTACGCAAGCGGGAAAGGCCACGCAAAAATCAACCTCTCATTATCGAGCAGAAAACTTCACTGCCACGTTCTGTGGATGTACCTCGAAGACAGACGTGATTTAGATATGGGGGCTCTTCGAAAGACCGAATGCCCACCGCAGAACACCCCGCTTGCTTCAATCTAACGCGATTCTCCCCGATACTCACGCCATAACACACATCTCTTTATTCCTCGGCCGAGCAGCCACAGAGTTCTCAAGGAGTTTGTACCCTCCACAGGATTACTACGTTGTAGGGGACTCGGCGATCCCGTTGAGATGGTCAGCACCTGAAACGTTCAAGGTCATGGAAACAGCGGTCGAGCTCTTGCCGCTGAGCAGAGCGGCGAATGTATGGTCGTTCGGAGTTCTGCTGTGGGAGGTCGCCAAAGGCTGTCAGAGGCCCCTCGACTACCTCAACGATGAGCAGGTGGGTCAAAATGCCGCCAGATATGTAAATGCTATGTACATAAATCAACGAACGATTCCGCAGTTTCCGCCGCTGTGGCCGCCGCAGCCGTTATCGTCGTCGGTGTCGTGGCGGCGACCGCCCGAGTGTCGGACGTCTTGACCGATGCTTCGTGAGTCGGGAAAGCATTCTTGGAACATGCTCCGGCTCACGAGTCAGACGGAAAACCATGTGTTGTACTCCGAGGCTATAATTGCCGAGACGGCTATGCGTCATTTTCGATCATACGACGCAGATGCCAATAAGTACTCTCGATGCACTCACTCGTCGCGTCGCCGGGTAGAACGCCTCGCCGAGAAGAAATATCGGGCCCGGTTGCCGGTCGGCGGCGGTGGCAACGACTGCGATGAGTGGCTGCTCCCTCCTACCTAATTATCGGCCGTCTAGCCGACGTTCCTTCCGGGCTCGAGCTGACGCTGAGAAGGGGATACTGTATTCATGCGGATTCGTCCTCCTCTCCACAGTTTTTGCAACAAGTGATTGTGGATCACAAATGGGATGCCGAGTACGCTCTCAACACAAACATCATAGGCTTCAACGGCCTCATCACGAAGTGCTGCTCCCTGGATCCCATCAGAAGACCTCATATGCAGGAACTCGTCATAGAACTCGGGGATCTGATGTACCAGGAGCCCGAAGAATGTTCGCTCGGCTTCCAAAGGAGCACGTCCGTGCACGATATGCTAAACGAACGACCCGAGAAGGTTTGTAGAATACGAGCTCTCCCCTCGAAGGAGTGGGTTCCTATTTTCCATAGCTTCGGGGCGCAGCATCCAAATCGACCCTCGTGGAAGTATGTCCCAAGCCGAAAGAGTTCGATACTCGGCACATTCTTCGCGTTGAACATTCTTGCTCATAGTCACGCACGGGAGGATGCGAAAACGCTGTTCCCGCAGAGTCATCGCATTTCGTGCTCGCGTTCCCCCGAGAAGAGTCTCGCCTCGAAGGATGTGTCTAAAAATGTTTCTTTCCTTTGTTGAAGGTTGCTGAAATGTTCAAAATCACCGTGATCGATGATGAATTGACGGAGCATCTCTCGTCAGTTGGTCTCCCTCCGAACTACTTATGGGGGAATAGAACGGGGAAAATTGATAATGCCGATCTCTCCCAGCTTGAGAGCTCTACATGGAAGATTCCTGACGAGCTGAACAAGGTACGTGAGATATGCCTCGGGACTCGATCGGGGAAAATCCTCGTCCCCGAACCAAGAGTCAATCGCTTCGGGTCTCTACGAGCCTACAGGATTACGCTCCCGCCAATCCCCAGCTGACTAAAAAACTTCAGCTGTACCTGAGAAGCTTTATGCTGATGCTTCTCGATTCGAGGCTTTCTCCCTATTGATATATGATGATTGATATATGGCTGGATTTTCGCTATCAGAAGAATCGAAATAATTATTCCGCATTCACTCCCGGATATAACGATTGAGAGCCCGAATTATCCCGTCCAGGTTAACTGACGTCCCACCGATGGGTCGGCGTGCTCTTCATTTTCGAGAGGGAACGAATCATTGAAAAGTTGGTAATTGAAGTTTCCGAAACAAAGGGAGAGAACATGACGGTCCACGTTTGTTACTCGAATCTGTTTCTTCACTCCACTGAACTAACTCACTCCACACCTACCGACCACCACGCCCATTGGGCCTTACAACAAACCGCAACACGCTTGCCGGGCTGCAGTACACGACGTATCGGTGGCGTTACGCCCGTCCGCCAAATGCGAGCCTCAAACCGGTTTCCCTTAACCCATGCACGCTAACTTCTCTATTAACTTCCGCTTGACGTGGCGGGTTCCCGATAATATCTGGTACGGGTTCCATTTGCGCATAATGAGTGAACAATCTCTGGGCGCGAGACTTCTCACATCGGCGCGCTTCGGCACAGATTCTTTCCTCGACTCTCACTGCAACTTTCCCGGAACCTTTCCCGGACTGATGCGTTTACTAATGGGCGAAAGCTGTTAACTATTCTGCTGCGGTTCTGCCGAACGAGAGTATGGGGTGACGGGATAACCCCTCTAACCATCTGCCGGGATCGTCTCGGAACTGAAACTCATCTCCATGTTTTGCAGGTGGTTGTGGAGGGTCAGAGCGAAGCGTCTACACTTGCCAATGAGGTGATGCCGTCCGAATATATCACAGCTTCGAATGGCAATCTTAGTGCCATCTCACATCCACTCCATGCGGACTCGGACACTCTAGATATGTTCAGCGAGCCTAGCTCACTGGTCAACGAGCTGGACAACATTCTCGACCAGAGGTCAGACGGAACGATCACGCCGCAGCAAGAGCATCAAGAAGAGTACGCCGATGATGATTATCAAGACCAAATGGAGTTGCAGGAGCCTGGTTCAAAATTCATGACAGGTGAGCCTTCGACTTTCATTCCGCGGTTTTCAGACCCTCCGTTCCTTACCGTCGTCTGGACTCTCCATCGTCCGAACGTACGATTCGGATTTCACTGCCGTGGAGACATTCGCTTGGAGAAATTCCGCGGGATCTCGTTTCGAACTACTTTTGCATGACGCATGTCTTCGTGACGTAAGCCGTCTCGAGGCATCGCATACGAGACCGAGCGAACCCCTGAAGGCGGGGACGCGGATCAATTCTCGGCATGCCAACGCGGCAACAATTTCCGAACGAATCGATCGGAGTTCGTTCAACCCACGCGAAATACACTGCAGTCGTCAGTCCTCCGAGTTGTGGCGATCTGAATCTTCCGACGCGACGCTCCTATCAGCAGAAACTCCCGTTGCGACGGATCAAATTCTCGTGGCCAATATTCCTTCTTCTATCCCTGTAGTCATCGGAGGAACTCTCTCGAACTGAATCCTTCCTTCGTTCCAGGACGACCCACTTTCCAACTGAATCTGAACGTCGGCACGCCAAAAGGACTACCGGATGTGATTCCCCCGACAGGGAACGGCGATAATCCACTGCATCTATCAAACGACGTGCTCATGAAGTTTCAGCGGATGTCCGCTGACACTTCATAGAGCAAAAAGTCCTGCAACTCATCCGGGTTTTGAAATGGAGAGGCCAAAGCTGTAGTAGCGATTCGTATAGATCTCATAATTCATGTGTTCCTTGATTTTGCGTGCTTAATCTTGTTCCCATCGAGCGTGGTCCGCATTGACCAACGTCGCTGACCTTAGTGAACCTTCAACGTTGCATTTAGACACATTTGAGACTCTAGAACAAAAAAAAACATTTCTCCATATTCAATATTTTGAGGAGGGATGCTTGAATCATGAGCTTTGCAATTTCATCGCGAGGAATTTTTGATACTGGAGAATTCATGAAGCTACGGTATGCCAGTATTCATTTGATGATGGATTGCTTCAACGACGAGCTGTCGAGCTTGGAAGCTGGACAGCCTGGGTGGATTACATGCAAGATTCTATCCCGCGGAAAGCACGATCATTGAAGATGAACATCAGCGATTCGTCCATTTTCCAAAGAAGATAATCTTCTGCTTCAGTCGAAACGTCCGTGTATCGATAGTTGAGAGAAGCTCATAGGCAAATCTTCTCGTCCTTGGCCGACCGTTCATGTAGTGAAGCGCAACGGAAGGATACGATAAGACATTGCTGGGCTTCGTCTCGCTTTCGCTTGACCCAAAACGTGGATCCGTCCAGATCGGTGGAGTTCGTGGAACTCCCCATAAACCGTTCCAGAGAGCACGTGAGGGTCGGATCGATGTTGTCCATTTTAATTGCCTTCGCTGGCCTTCCTTCTTGGAGCTACGTGATTGTAGACGCTGAGGCAGCGTCTTCGATGTGCAATATATTTCTGCCCGACTCGGTATTCATCGAGATAGACTGACGATCGGGTATTTCCTCCCTGATTTCATTTTCCGTCACGTTACTCGCTAGCTAAGAGTGAAACCTTAAAAACACCGATCAGCGATAATAACGGATAGAACGATGAATCGGAACCCGACTGACACGAGGAAGCTAACGAGAGTCGCCCACTTTATACGGCGGAGAAAATGTGGCTCCTGTTGCCATGTGATAATATTTAGTCACTCTCAGAGGTCCGCGTCCTGATTCAGGTGTTTTCATGCGGAAATATGTATCATAAAAACTCTTCCTTCGATTGATCAATCGATATCCATCACTACATCTACAACCAATGAAAAATCACTTGTAGTAATAATTTCATTTACGTACATTATTTGTCTGTGACTGCGTGGCGTTCTTCCACGGTTGCGTGATGCCACGTAAGTTCACATCTTAGGTTTTCTCACAGCACGGTATCCATCATCAGCGTGCTCAAGAGAAATTTTCTTCTGATAGCGCTTCCGAGGAAGTGGGAAAACCTCTGAGCGGTCCCTTCCAATATATCTTTTTTTCTCCGACACGAAGTCAGCGTGATGCTTGCCGCATCAGACGACAGTGGCCGCATCATAGTCTGCGAGAGCTCGCTCAATCTACTCGTGGTGATCATGCATTTTAGTGGATTCGCATTGTATTCGGCGCGCTGAGAGGAGAACGGTTGCGGAATGTTCTTCACCGAAAGAGAAGAATCCGTGCCGGCGCGCCATGAGGCTGAGCGCACGCGGGGTTGACCCGGATTCATATCTCAGGATGAGCCCGAGTCCAGATCCTGATCCCGCGTTCTAATCCGAGCCACCCCCGAAAATGAAGCTCGGAGGGATTCTCCGTCCCCGATCATACACTTCAGACTGGGATTGGGGATAACGAGTGGATACTGGGAGAAATTTTGGGACCCGCTGAGCGGCCGAGTGACAGCTTGAGCTCTGGAGCTGACTAATTGAAAGAAATCCAGAGCTCAATCAACGGAAAATGCGACCATTGGGATCGCCTCGACTTCGAGTTATTATATTATAGTACCTAAATAGTCTCTGAGCAGAGGGCTGAAATCTGACTTGGAGGACTTTCTGCGCTATTGTCGTCCAGCGGACGAGAATCCGTCAATAAAATACATTTCATTATTTACAAGAAGAGGGAGTCGTCTTTGTCTCAGAGGGATATTCATTCGGGATTTTATTCGACATCATACGAAATTTGTACATTTCACATTGATGCTGCTCGTCTCGAGGTTTTATTCCTCCACAGCTGCTCCATCCGACTGATGACGAATGCCACCCACAAGTCGATTTGGAACAGTGCGCCTCCCTGACGCTCTCGTTCTCGCTTTTACAAGCGTTCACTCGGTCGCGGAAGCCAACGATGCCTGAGGAATCTCCGGCACCAAATCGTCGCCTCTGCATAGGGTCCGTCTGTATTTTTTCGTTCTTTCTTGTTCACAGGTGACGTTGTCGGTTTCTACATTTCTAAAACTCACTTCCGCTTCATCCCATGCTTCTCCCCGCCATTTCGTCTCTTGAATTCGAAAATAAATATGTACTATGTTTGAGTGAAAACTTCCATGTCGCTATGTATTTCACCCCTTCGACCACCCTGAGCGATTATCATCTGCATATCCTCGAAGTATTCTGTCACATTTTTGTACATGTTGCGTTCAGGAAGCGTACAGACATCGGGATAGTCGAAAACGATTACCCCCGGTCGCGGATGAGCTTGGCGGAGGAGTCGGAGAGCTTCGTCACTGATCTCAGAATAAAGAGGAGACTTGAGTGACCGTCAAAATTTCAGAATTGTAGAGAACGCTCCCCTCAGTGTCGAGCTTGCTCAGAAAACGTGACAGCCATTGATCATCCTGTGCGAGAGGCTGGTTATATTTTGTACAACCGCACGTGTCAAGAACGTTGAAACCCATCGGAGGACAGCGATCCTGACGCTTTACAAATCGACACGACTCCACTATCTTCCGGTAGGGACTACGCCCGAATCATCAGACTCGAAGACTCTTCGCCATGTTGAGCTCTCTTCTTGTTCCTTCAAAAGTTGCTTCCGTCGCCGTCCCTTCTCCATCATCAGACACGATTAACTCGGCATCGAAATTATTATTGGGAATATTCACACCGTAGTCGGATTCTTCCGCTCATATGCCGTTCGCAGTGCGTCGGAGCAGAAGCTCAGCACCAATCCGCGAGTGACGGATCGACGTCCACGGGGTCGTCAAGATTTCGTTGTGAGGAGACGAGTATTGTCCGACGTACGGAAGGCTATGCTTCACCGTTTGGCACGGTTCGAGTTAAGACGATTGTGGAACTCGGTCATATCCAAAGTATGACCTCGATCCTCCAGATCGCAGACTTCCAGCTGACGACGCTTCACCCGTACGTCATCTTTGATGACTTCTCGACGAAGAACCGACATCGCAGCAATTTTGATCGTGAACCTGAATAAGAAGCAAAACTGTTAGCGAGAGCAAGAGTTTCTCCGGGAAGCCGATGCGAGGTCGATGCTGACTCGGAAGACGGGATTTGCGTATGTTCTCAGCTGGAGGACAGCATCAGTTCACCTACCGATCGTATTCTCTCATGAGCTTCGATACGGCGCTCCGGGACACGTCCACGACGCTGTTTCCATTCACGCATAGAAGGACATCGCCCATGAACAAACACTGTTTTTGGCTCAAATCCATGTAACGACGACCGTCCACCTGTAAAGCAAAAACTTCGGATATATGCGGACGAACGAAAGAATAATAAAGGGCATTCTCCAATTTCGTCGCATTCCTAGCTCAGCCTGTCAGAAGCATCCGACTTCGAAAAACTCGGGGGAATGCACACAAGAGAAAATTCACCGATAACTTCGAGTGGATTCGAGTTGTTCGATAGCAGATTAGCTCTTCGGAATCCCCACGTCGCTGCCAGTGGGGAGAATCTTCGAGGCCACGCCCCTCGATAGAGTTGCTCGCATGCTGACTCATTTTCGAAATGGAGCCTGGGACTTGAGCCAGGTGCCAGAGATCGAACATTCGAGAAACGAGTTCATCCTCCCAGAATCATGAGCGCAACAAGAGCACCCTTCCGAGTTTTCTTATTTTCCCGTCAGATTCTCTGAGTTTCCGTTTGAGAGCTCCATCCTGATCGAATGAGGCGACCAGAGTCAATCAGACTAGAGCAAGATGCCTCGACAGTGGGACACTGACGGTGTCTACGGAGGCTATGGGGAATAACGAGTGGAGCGCGTGTGAAGGTTATGAGCGGAACGCAAAGGTCTCAGCTCTTCAGGAGCATCTCCTCAAGCGGCGCTCGGAATGTCTTGTTCAGTTCCAGACTTTTCATCCGAAAAAATGAGGTTGAGCCCTAATGCCGCGAATTCTACAGACGGGGAATAATTTCCGAACCAAAAATCACTCGCAGAGATATCATAGCCGTGCGATTAACTGTCGTTTTTCAGATGAATTCATTTGAGTATCCACGAGACGCAGCGCCGGCGAGACGAGACCGTGGAGAAGCTCTCAGAGCACTTCACGAGCGATTCCAAGGGGTGACTCGAGTCGAACAGTTCACGAGGTAAACATTCACACAGTCACGGACGCACCGACGCTTTGTGTTCAGAGATTCAGATTCTGGTATGAGAAGCTCGCGTTAGCTGTCTAAACAAAATCGCTCGGAAGGCGAGCCACAATGAACGTAAGCAAACACCGCATTCCGCCGTTTTTTTTCTGTCCTCACCCCTTCTGATATATCCTAATGGATCGCTTCGAGAGCAATTAATCCGCCAGTATCTAATTATTATTACCTCGCTTATAACGTAGATGGTTATGAATTTCCTGAGTTCCGCGCTGTATGTCAGCGTAGAGATATATTTGAAGCCTACGTCGACGTGCAGCCCGCAATAGGACGGATTTCCGTAAGCTTCCAAGGTAACGGTACCGTGTCTTTCGATCACCTGTAAACAATAGGACATCGGGTGATGAATTGAGTTCGGAACACTCCCAGATGCGGTAAATGAGATCTAAGGAATCATGATCATAATCAGTGATCAGTCGCCGTCGTCTACGAGTCGGGCGAGAAAAGCTTAGGCTTGATACGCACTTGGAGCATGTCCTTTCTCGTGTTGGCCAATCTCAATGGGTTGGCAGTGACCACTTTGAGATAGAGGTTCTCCCCGGAAGCCATGATCAGCTCCCGAACGCGTTCTTTCGATTTGTACTTTACTCCCTGATCGTTGACAGAATAGATGACGTCTAACTGCGTACAAAGGGATCGGTCGGCCGCCGATCGCGGCACAATTCTCTGCAATACACGCTCTGGTCAGACACTGCCGGGAGCATTCAGAACATGCACGTACGGGAATAGAGGCTTACTTTTATAAAAACCCATTTTTTGCCATCTTCAGCAATGACTTCGTCCAACGTGAGGCCAAAACACCAGAAACGATTCGACGACCACCGACTGCCGAGGACCATGCAATCCGTGAGGTCCGCTGTCGAGTACGTGAACGTGTTCGGGTTGCCGGCTTGTGCTGCGGCTACAAAAAAGAAATATTTCCTGCATCGATGAAAGTTCTCATAGACAGTTCCGGCTTATCCCTCGGAGTACCTGACTCCTATCATCCGCAGCCCATCGTCGTCGAATCATAAAGAGAGAAGTGTACCTGAATTGGATGACGTGTGTAGAGGTGATATCGTGGACGAAGGTGAACCACATGGTGACCCTGATGATCCACTGTTTAGGCTATCGAGACCTGGAATGGTATTCCTTTATCAGAACGGCTTGCTTTCGGTAGGTCCTGAGAGATCCGCTATCGAGCACAATGAATCGAGGTGGCCCCTGCGCGGTCCAATGGTAATTTAAAGTTCGAATTTCATTCGTGAATAAATTCGCTGGACTCGAGACGCTGATACAGGAAATCGTTGCCGCTATCCCTGGGCGGCACAGAAGGCACTGGAACCAAGCCGGAGTTCTGGCTGCGTCTGCAAGCAGCGCGAAAGCTACTTATCTCGTTCGCTGCACCGAGCGATCGAGAACACGTCCGAAAATTAAAAATTTAGATCGTCACCGGGGAGTCCCTCGAGTACCGAACCATATCAGAGAATGATGGTGATTCGGGGAATCGCGCAGAGCAGCTTCTCTGGGATTCAGAACAGGCCATTCGAGCAAATGAGACCGCACGTGGGTAAACCCGGAAAAGATCCAGATCACAATGGAAGTAGGATTCGCTGCGATCTCCGCCATTCATCCATTCATGCCTCGTTCCCGGCTCGGTCCAGAGGGAGGAGTTTCCTTCTCACTCTGGATATCCTCAGGGAATCACCCCATGCGAAACTCCGCGAGGAAATTAAACTCGGAGGCGGGGCTATCGGGTAGGCGAAGCTGCGTGGATGAGGAGTTCCTCGGAACTCGAATCAATCGCAAGCCCGGTCAAGGGAATTTTCAGGGGGGAGTAGTGGTCCGGAATCATATCAAAGACTTCTCAGCTTTGAGAATCGAAGCTTTCAGGCAAATCGATGACCCGGCGTGCCAGGAATGAACTTGAACCTGAACGACGTCTCAAACACTGAGGAATTCGAAAGGCTTAGCATGGCCACTCAGGTTTTATCAATCGGCGCTCGCTCTCTGAGACCAAAGTTCAACACAGGGCATGGTTGGCTCGCATCGGGCGATGTCGAAGGGTATCTCCGCGCGTACGCGATATCTCCTAAGCATCCTCATGCCGAAATAGTTTCGAGGCGCCTTAGATGAATTCGGATAGTTCGAGCCCCTTACATCATCCGATAGATATCTTGGGCAGTTGCAGCGGGTTTATCGTAGAGATTCTGGGTATCTCCAACAGTCCTAGTCTAAAGTTCCCGCTTGTAGGAACCTCGAAAGGTCCCCAAACGAAGGTCACGTTGCATGACAACCAAATGACTTGCGGCGAACTTCGCTCGACTTATAAGCGCCAAACCGACGGGGTCGCCGCGGTGAATCATTTCGAGGAATGGAGCGGGAAGCAATGGAGCAGATACGAGGGAGACTCGAATCGTTCGCAGCCCCGCTTCGGATATTCCTCGGTCCCTGAATATCACGACAAATTCACGGAATTACGGCGAAGGAGACCCCGCAGCTGAAAAAGCCTTCACGACTCATGGGAGGCCCCAAAATACAGTCCTTAGCTCTGGAGGGGTTTTACGACTGAGAGTGTCGACGTCTCAGAGATCTCGATCGGAATCGTGGAGCACCGCGCCGTGATGCGTCATGTCTGCCCCCGAGGGGGTACATGATCTTTCCATCCTCATTAATCGTTTCCACGCTCCCGAGAGCTCCAGCGTTCGAAGCAAAGACTCGATTCTCAAGAGCTGCTTCGTCACCACGAACCGGGGGATTTTGAAAAAAAAATCTACATTGTCGTCCCGTGAAACTGAGGCGCGTGTCACGATTCAGCGCCAATCCTAAAGAATTCCATGAAAGTCACCATCCACAAAGAGTGTGGTGAAATCGCGAATCACTGTCGCGTTGAAGGCGACATCGGGATAGCCGAACCAGACCCATCATTGATAGAAGCCGCGATATTATACGACGCAATATTCTTTCGAAGGAGACGAGCTGCCTTGGACGCAGAATGATCGTTTTCACTTCGAGGGTCTCCGGCCCTGAATCGGGGAATGAGGGGGGGGAGGGGCAGATTCTCGGAAGGGGTTTCCTCGGGAAAAATGATGTCGGGAGACAATCCAAAGGTGTGGTCCCTCTAGAATCAGGGAAACTGACCTTGATACTGTATAGTGGAGTCCTTGTTTTTGAGCTTCTCGGTGATGTGTTGACGCGTGGAGTTCAAGTACTCCCATTTCGGTGACTCTTCTTGGTGTTCCAAGGATCCCGAGAGGCCAAGGGACACGTGGGTGGGCGCCATTTCTCTATGTATGTCGTTGGGTTGGATTCATGAGAACGTCTTCATCCAATTGTCATGTGATTTGTCTGAGCCTTCAAAATCAGCGTAATCCCTTCCTATATCCTGTGCAGATACTTGTAAACGTCGGCACGAGGTATCACAGAGCTTGAGCAAGCGAATTTTCGGAGGACCTCAGACTGAGAATGCCGTTTCGATTCTCTCCTTCTTGAAGCGAGCCCCCCGAGGTGCATGGACTAATCACCTGGAAATAAGACGAGTTAAAATTCCAATAGAGATTCTCTGAGATTCCGATCGAATCCGCGGAACGATTCCGGGGTCGAAGCATATATCAATTTGTTCGGCTCGATCTTATCAGGAACATGGTTATCGGGCTCTTGTTCGTTCGAGTGAAGCCATCAGGAGTCGATTCCCTAGAAATGCATTCAGCAGATTGCCTCTCGGCCGGTGAAGCGGTGTGCGCCGATTAGAGATAGGAGCTGGCTGTTGGGCATTGCTGCTGGCCGCTGAACGTTTGCGAATGACTCACTCCGCGGGCAGAGAATGGTGGAGTCCGATGGAATTCTAACGACTCGAAGCATGTAGACAGTCGTCATCAGAGCCGAACTTCCTTATGTCTTTCAGAAAATTTGTTCGTCTGTGGACGAGCGACCTCTATATGTTGTGATAAATGTTAGATTGATTCGCGATCAAGGAAGCAATGATGTTCCTTGACGATAACCAACGTTTCTACGCACCAATAGAGCGCATTCATGTCCTCGGGTGCCTCAAGTTATCTAATTAATCTAACCGTCGACATTCGCCGGCTAATCGGATTCTGCGGATGGGAACGCATAGGGATAGCACAGCTCCTTCCACGGTCTGGGTGCCTAGGCATGGAAAAAGGCGAGTTCCAGCGTGGGAAACTAAGGAAGTTTCTGGCCATTACCTGTGGAGCCCGTCCGCTGACCAAGGACGACTCTATTCTGTGGCACAAGTTCCACCTGAACAAAGTGAAAAGACCGGAACGTCGTAACCTTGTGGATGTAGTTATCGTCATGAAACAAAAGATGCAGAAAACGCAATCATTTTATTTACAGCGACGATTCCCGACTTCCCTGGTGTCGGCGATGGGAAGTAAAGGGAAGTCCCGGGCGCGCGAGAACGGAAAATCCCACACGAAAGAATTTCGGCAGCGGAAACTCTGCGAGAACGTGAACTCCACAACAATCTCTTGGGCTGTAGCTTCGTCTGAGACGTCTAGGGGTCGCCCGATAGCTTCGCGGTGATATACATAGCGTCATCTCATCAGTAATCAGGAGTGAATCACCTATAGAAGTGAGTTCGCTCAAAGGTGAGCGGAACCTGCATTCTTTTGTCAGAAGCCCGAAAGGTCATCGATTAATGAAAAGATTTGACCGCAGCTCGACGGCTCGAGGGAGCGATCGCGGCACTCCATATCTAAGTCCACACAATCGCGTTGAGACTCGCCGATGAGTCACACCTCACCGGAAACGATACTGTTGTAATCGCTAGCATTTCGCGTCTCGCGTTTTGGCCGAACGAAGCTTATTGCTGACATTACAGCAGCGCTAGGAGCATTTCAATTCTGGATCGAGGGAAATCGATGTGTGCGCAATCAGAAACGTCGAATATTGATGTTGACTGTGTGAGCCAATGACCAGGGGCGACCCCGGAGGGAGAATACCGCAAGTTTATTATTAAATGAAGAAAGAACCAATAATGAATATACCGATGAATGAATGAACCAATAATGTGAATATTTTTACTCCATCGCCGTTGCCCAAGGACCGATTGGGATTCATGCCTAATATTTCGTACACGGACTTTCTATTTTATAAAAAAAAAGTCAGGGCCGCCGCGTACACTTGAACCCCCGTAAATGACCCATATTGAAGTCCAAGGTCCCCATAAGCTGAGAAGGAAGAATACACCGGAACCATACATCCGGCAGCTGTTCCTCATTAAACTTCACCGTAAAATACGTGGTTCCATGACACTGCGACGGGGGTCGGCAATGTCCCCCTCACCGTCTTATTTTGGCCAACGCAAATGCCAGGTCGCTCGATATGCGGGACGGTTCTCTCCCTATGGATAAGCCGAATTCCCCGAGTTAGGTACCTAGCTGTTTTTATTATCTTGTTCGAGCCAAAGTCACTGGAATATGGCGTGGGCAAATCGTTTCTACCTCGGTAGGCAGCCGCTCCGGTATACAGCGTGTCGAAAACGTCGGTGGGCCTCCTGTTCTTTCTGTTGATCATTCGCTCGTTCGTTCGCAGTCAGCTTGTCCATGGGAGAAAACTGCTGCCCGCTTAGCTGCCGTCCGAAGAGCCAGTGACCGCTTTCCCTTATTCCAATCCACTTTGCCAATGGGTTTTCCTCCAGACCGCTTCTCGAAGGCGATCATCTCTTGTTCTCGGTGCCGACTCTGATTTCGGATCAACGTCTGTTTGAAGACGAAGATGCACCGAACGACTTCGTCGCTTGGAGGCTCCTCAACCCGGACAGGAAAAATTATCCGAATTGAACCATCATTATTTCCTCGATGGCGTAGTCTATTCCGTTTGCCGAATCATTCTCCCGAGATATTTATTTGTATTGCGGATCGCGAATGACTCCGCCCTCGAGACTCGATTCCAGGAAGTTCTGGCTTCAGACAGGAGGCCGCTCTTGATTTTGTCTAATTCGATTCAAGTTGCAGTGAAAGCCAGAGCCTCCACACAGATCCACATAATGATTCGACGAGCTCCTTCGAAACAGGAGGATGACAGACGCGATGTCTAACGATGTCCTGAAAACACGACGAGCCGCGTCATGCATCACAGGAGCCCCACGTCGGGCGTCATTCTCTTCGAAAGCTGTCGATTCCATTTTTGCCTGTTCCATATCTGTTCGTCTGATTGAGACGACATCCTGGTTTACGCCCAATGACGGTCCGCTGCCGGACGCCATCCAGATCGGATGACCGAGCGGCCAGTGAGCGAACCGAGTGGTTGCGAATTTTCGGCGGGCACAGCGCTCCTCGGTGGGCAGCGATTTCGGGGAATCGTATCTCATCCGCCATACTGGTCAGTGCCCGATACGGGAAAAACGAGACAACGGCGTTGCACGCTCCTCGGTACATCGCAAAGCGTGTGTCATCTGACTGAGTACAAAGACGATCTCTTTTTTCTCGGACAAACACTGACAGTGTTCGACCTGCCCTCCGTCGACGTCGAAGGCATTTCTGGTGTTGCTTCTTCTCTGCTGTCACACCGAAGCAAAACTCCGTCTCCTCCCGACAGGACGAAGTTGACAAAAGAAATAATAAAGATCATGAGAACGACGGGGGAACAATAGAACCGCGTTGTAATAGTCGTGTTCCGCTGTGACGGCACACCGGAATGTGGCTCCCACTCGGAATGTCCTCGTCGATCCGACTCGTCAGTCACTTCCATCATGTTGAGATATTATTTGAAGAACCGAGATTCAGATGGTGACGCCGCGTCGCGACAAACGGAGAGCCGACCACACGAGTTTCCGCTGCCCCTATTTATGACCTCATCGCGTGCCGGGCAATGACGATTATAGAGGAACTGCGAGCGATCGATACCCTCGGAGATGGATTCACGGGGCATCCCGATCGGAATCAAGCATCTCTCGATGATTAGCCGAGCAACACGGGAATTTCGCAGCGAGATTCAGGAAAAGAACCATCGTAACCCGAACTTAAAATCCACGAGCGCCCATTGCGCCCGTAAATGAGCTTGCCGACGAAGAGCCGTGTTTAGCGGCTGTCTAGCCGACCACGGAAGAATATTGCGGGTCAGAGGGCGACAGAACTCGTGTCCCCATGGTCTGAATGATTCCTTCCGAATGATTCGTCTGAGAGATGAGATCATTGTACGGTCAGGGAGCCAGCTCGGTACACCGCAGGGTTTCCGCTCGTTCGATTACGATGGAATCTTCTGCGTTCCGTTACGAGCCTCGAACATGAGATTGCGAATGCGAGGAGTCTCGGGAGCGCTCTTTTCTCGAGCTCCAACGGACTGTCGCGGGAAACTTCCTGCAGTGACGTGTTCAGGAAACAGCTCGTAAAGAATGTTTGGTGAACTACTTTGAGAAACGCGGTTTCTCTCGCAGCTCCTGAGTGCTAAAAACGCCCAAGATCCAAGTCGGGAGACTGTTTTGTGGAGTAATCCACCTCAAGAAATGGCGGCTCGATCCCTCCGAGCTGTTTTAGACCAACCGACCAACTGACCGAGGTCTAGATGCGTGCTCCTCCGGGGCCATGAACACAACGATGAATAATCCACCTACGGAGTCCGACATACCTCGGCGATGTTTGGAGAACGTCAAGATCCCACCCCACTGCATCCACTACATCCAACGGCTCGATGACTGCGGTTCCGACTTCAGCTTCGAAGGTGCAGCCACACTCGCGGAGGGAAGCGAACGCAAGCGCCTCGCATCCGTATATTTGTGGAGCGAAACTAAGCTCTACCCGGAACTGTACTCTGTCCCCCGATAAGCGGCCATCGGATTTGGGATTCTTGCGGCATTCTCCCAGAGCTCTCATTTGTAGTTCCACAACACAGATCGTTTACGCGTCATCCGAATTCCATTCGAACAAGGTGTTTCGACAAAAAGGCAATCACCCGCATTCCGTCCAGAGTCTAGGGTCGCGAGCTTCTCGAGCCCAAATTCATTTAGTAGTTTTTCCAGACTATGCTTTCCGCTTCCACGGATTCCGAGGACACATTATGTACTCATTCGACAAGCACGCCGTAGGAGCCGGAGATCGAGAATACAGTGCGAGGGTGAAATCGAGGCGAAGTCGAGGATACTCATCGGATATCGTCCCTTCGCGAAGTGGAAAACAGCGACGGTCTTGGAGTCCACGGGAACACGGTTAACTGTTGTGTGCCGTCAAAGCAGTCAGAATCGTACGGTAGAAATAGACCCACGATAGATTCCGGCTGCCGCATTCCGTTTCTTGTTTTCTTCCAGAGCTCTTGTAAAGATACCGGACAGCCGGTTCGCTGCTGAGAACTGTACGAGTTTCAAAGGGCAGCAAAGGTGACGTCGACCGTGAATGGCTTCGACGGTATGGCGACGGACAATCGCATTTCCTCGGATATTTCACGTTCTGGATTTCCTTTCGAAGAATGTTCGAACTTGTAATATTCGACCGCTTGGGACCTTGAATGCGAAACTCAGGCAAACAAAACTGGCGCTCAACATTCGTTCTCGCGGAACGGGTCGCTCCGAAAAAGGCCCCAGACACTCGACAACTCCCTAGGAAATCGGCACGTATGTTGATGCCATGCGAGAAACTCTCGATTCTCCGGACAACCCGGGCGACGGAGGGAGGAAACTTCAGACTTCAGGCCCTCCCCAGACCAGATAAGGAATCCAATAATTGCTCAACCTGGAGCCCGGGGAATAAGAAACTGTAATCGCCTCGCCCGACAAGCATGACAACGTTATCGGAAACATCCTCGGGGCGTTCCCAGGCGTGCATTGGGCCGTCGAAGCGACCGCAAAGCGAACGGAGGATTCGAAATCTCCGCCGACTTCGTCCCGATCGAGTCTTCGCAGTTCGATAGTTCCAGTCTCCGTACCTCATAATTGGTCGATATCGGCGAGCAGTAATTACTTTCGATCAGACGGGAAATCGACTCCTCGAGAAGACCTCATTATCCAAAATTTCCCAGAGACAATCAAGCCCCTTGGAACGATTTGTCCACGGACACCTCTGCTCGAAGCAAGATGCAACTGTCGAACATATTCCAATCTCTCCGAAAACGAGTGCGTCGTACGCCCGCAAGCGTCATCTCCAGCAACGGCGAATTTCTTGAGTGTTCCGTCAGGCGTTCCGGAGGTCATCAACGGCAGTGTTCTGTCAAAGACGCCCGGCGATGAAAAAAATCGCAATTGACTGGGTCGCTTTCGACAACTGACTTCAATGGCTTTCAATGGTCGTACGCAGCGGCTGGCCACTACGTTTCGGGCCCACAAGATTCACTAATAGTCACCGATGTCGACGACACTGTGCGATATGGCAGCTGGGAATCTCGATGGTAGTGGTGATGATAGTGGCCGCCATCGGCAGCCGCGCGCGTCGCTGATGATTAGATGTCATTCGACTCAATCCTGCTGACGGCTCTCGAAGAAAAGAGAAAAGTGCTGTGCTTTTCTAGAGTACGACGCAGAAATACGGTACCGCCACAGTCACCCAAGCGAGAGCCATTCCGCGAGCTCGATGGCTGCCGCTTGCAATCAGCTGTACAAGGAATTCTTAGACGTTAGCTGTAGTTGTAGTTTGTAATGGTAGCGGTAGAATTCCGCAAGGTGTCGGCATCAGAAGTCTTCATCATGAATACCGACTTGTTGATGGCAGCGCCGACGCAGTTTCACAAAATCCCTCACGGGTGCCGAAACTTCCCCCACCGCAAGGGACGAGGAGTTCCAGTTGCGCAACAAAAACATAAAAAAAAAACGAAAATCCCGAAAATACTCGGGATCTGGAATTTCTGCTAAGGTGCTGAATTTCTGCTATCCGATGGTGTTTCGGACATGAGTGGACAAAAATGTTCTATCTGAAGTCTGATATACCTAAATGAATACGGGAATATACATGTGGGCGCATCCGGCTCAGAAACGCTACAGCCATGAGATGTCAGCTCATTCAAATTCACAGAGAATCGCATCAGATATCCGTAGCGATCGACATTCGATGCCCATCCTCACGACGAGCGTTCGGCTCTTGTCAGGCGGGAGAAATCACAGCGATCTTCTCTTACTCAGACGATTGACGTATACGGGCGACCCGACAAGCGCTCCACTTCCTTCCTCCTAGAGGACTACGACACCGAACGCTCCATGCTCGCACCGATAGCGTCGGCGATACGAATCAGAGAACATTCCTTCGAAATTATCCATCTCGATCTCTCGGAGAGAGCGTCTCACAGAAAGAAAATAGCCGCCATTCTGGAATTGAGACAAACAGAACAGAAATTTCTGTCGTTCCGCCAAGTTACACAGACGCGATCTCAAGGCGAAGAAGATTAGTCATCAGAGCTCTCAGATGCAATCCTCGAACAACGCTCCAAGCTCGTCGACGCGCCGTATCCAGATCGTGGTCACGCCCGTCGGAGGAACGATCACGAACCTCCATGTATGGCCGACAGAATTCGCGTTAAAAATTCTTTTCCTTTTTCCGCAGCCGCCACCACCGCCGCTGGCGCTCCCACCGCCACCGTTGTCGTGTTGAGCAAGAATAATCTGTTGCTCTAGTTGTGCAACCGGGACTCTGGTGTGTCGTCCACGTTGAGCCAAACTTGATCGACAGGAGAATTCTCCGTAAAGTGGAATTTAGGCTCCAACATGATTCGATGCCTCTCGAGAGTCAGCTCAACCGAGAGTTTCCATTCTTCGCATCGGGCATTCTGTTCCCCTTTCGATAGGTTCGCTCAAGTTCGCTTTTTTCTTCGCTTTCAAAGTTCGACCCTGGTCGGAACTTCTTTCCGAGGTTTCTGTAGTGTGATTCCGCGCCAAGGCTCTGGTGGAACGACCGTTTTTCGGAAGTTCGTCTCTTTTGAGACATTCGTCTCGGCTCACACGGAGGTTCTTGAATTTCTATTCGAGCTGCGACCATACCAGGTTCGAGCAGATTCGAGTCGAGAGCATTATATCTGTCGATTTCTGTCAACAAGTGTGACTTTCTGTTCGAGCGCTCGAAGAGAGCTCGACTCGGGTCGAGAATGACCAATGTGTCATACGAGAGGGATGACGGCAGGAAGTTTTGAGAAAACAAGACGATATCACAGAATTCTTCTAGGATGAAGTAGCCGAGGTCGCTGCTCTCCCGGCCCGTATTCGAGCGGGTCGGAACACCAGCTGAGTACGCGAGCGGTTGTGTTCATATTCAAGCCGCAAGGATGCGGCCTACTCTCAGCATATCTAGAAAACGACTCACCTCCTCTAAGAAGCATGGATTATAGGACTACTGATCCCAGTGCTGATTATAAGAAAACGAAGAAGCTCGGTCGGCGCTTGTCGACACTGGGTCCTGTTGTCGACCGATGGAGCTTCATGCTCGGAGTATCCAATAGAAGTTTGACCATTCAGATGGCCGACTGGCCGACGAGACTCGGCTCGAATCCAATGCACGACACACTGATCGGAGACAAAGAGACCCTCAGTCAGTCCGTCCGTCAGTCACTCGGTCCTTCAGTTGATATAGAACTGAGTGAGCCCCGACTCCCCACTAGCTCATCGGAATCCAAGAGAAACGGCAATCCACGGTGGCGAAGGCGGCGTTAACGATAACAACACAGAACGATGGCTCTAATTCAGTGGAAAACTCAACGAAAAACAGCAGCACACGGGGTTGCTTCGCCCAGTTTCTTTCTCTTCTCGGCGTTGGCCGAACATTCATCCGACTGCAGCGCCATCATCAGTTCTACCAACAGCTGATTCCCTTTCTCCCGCGTCGGCCTGCCGTGACCACGGTCTTGCAGCTAGACACGGAATCCGGTCTGGATGCGTGCCCGCTATTCTCCTTATTCGAATCGTTTTCCCACAGATATGGGAAAATTGTGCCTATGTCAAGCCTAATGAAGAACCTGCCGAGTTATTGCGGGCTAAAGGTCGAATAGGAGTAGAATCTGTGATTGGGAGAGAGGGGACAATGATGCCATTGATCTTTTCTTGAACTTCGATTGCCTACGGAGCGGACGTTCCCGTAGTTTCGAGCCCGATTTCCCAAGTCTGACCGAGGTGGGTCACGTCGGATGACGCTTTCTGTGTTAACAATGTGTCACAACTTTTCTTCCCGCGAATGTCCCAAGTGAGCAATATCTGAACTGGAATATCTCGGATACTCGACCCTCGCTATTCGGCGGATGCATGTTTCAGGTTTGACTCGAGAAGAAAGGCTCGGGGACCCGGAGACGTCCCTCGAATCAATCGAGTCCGCGGACTCCTTCCCTCAATGTCCGACGGAAAGTCCTTCCCCATGCACCGGATATCGCTGAAGTCAATGTCATGCGGACTCCGCCGAGGACGCCGACGAGAAGAGTCCAGAAAGCGGGCCGAGACGATACCTGCCGTGGCGTGTTGGAATTCGGACGGGAAGCTCGGCAAGGAGCGCAGGAGGAGATTGGCTTCAGGGCTTGGCCCTCTGCTGGATCTGTCTTATGCTAAACGGATCATTTGAAATGCAGAAATTTCCAACAGCTCTGATCATTCTCCGGGGAAACTCTGCTTGGGGGTGGCTTCGGTCTGGATGGGCAGTCGTATGTGTTGCCTAAGTCTCCTCGCCGGTGAGCAGCCCAAAATCGTAGACTGACTGACGCATCGATGGGAACATGGAGCTCGGAGGCTCAGCGGAACAGTCCCCTCATGAGACGGCTCGACTCGAGAGGACTACTCCCCGTCCCGTCAAAAATCCCCAATCCCTCGCTGGTTCGGCCCACTGCATCCCCCGGGGAGAGTTACGTCGAGCCCAAGCGGCTCGACGACCACTCTCATCGGTCTGAGTCGGGGTAAGATGCTTCTAGGGAACCTCGGTATCGTTCTCCTGAGACAGTTGCGAGAGAACCGAGAAACTCCCCCCTGCGGAGAAGAATCTGCAAAGCTCGGCCCTACTTCAGTGAAGCGGTCGTGGAATCATTGCGCGTGCCTGCGTGCCGCGCATGAAATTACTAAGCGCGCACGCAATGGTGCCGGTGGAGCGCGCCGTGCATGGCAGCATTGCCCTCGGAGCTGAAGCATTGGTACTCTGAATTCCGGAGCAAGCGGGCATGGCAGCATGGCCCTCATAGCTGAAGTAATGATACTCCGACAATTCCGATTTTCCGCGAGGAAACCCGTCGTGGCTAGAGTACGGGTATCCTGCAACTTTCTCCTCACGATTTCCATCCCGATAGCCTCCGACAAGGAATCACTATCGTACCAATTTCCCAGAATTTCAATGATTCAAGCACTCTGATTTCAACTCCGGCCTCTGTTCAACGAAACTCCTTGGCTTTACTCGACTTCCTCATTTCTCCTTCCATGTGACTAAGCGTTCAGAAAGCCTCTACAATTATCCTCCAACGAGCGCCGTTATGTTTTTTTTTAACCCAGTTCGGCTCTGTTTCCACAAGCCTACTGAGGTTTGATCTCGCGTCGCTGAGGATTGAGCGCCCTCACGGCTGGTATGCGATGATTGCCGAAATATCGCAGTTTGACTATGAGGAATAATGCGGCCGTGAGAGAGGACGAAGTTCCATCCAAGCTCTATTCGGCCCATACACAGAACGCAAGTTGAGTAAGTCATCCCCGCTTGATGCAAATCTTGGTTCACTCGACCACGGATTGCGCATCTTCAGAGAGGAGATGTCACGAGGAAAGGCCGCGGGACTCCACCGAAAAGAAAGAATGCAAGCAATCCATAAGAGGAATGAATCCTCCGAATTATTTCCAGCTGGCTGGGCTTCACGATCACTCTATAGCGAAAGCTTCTCTAAATACTTAAACCGAATAAATTCAGGTGCGGACCAGACTGTGATTCGCATTTCGCATGATTCACTCCACAGAGCACGGACCATGAGCATCCGAAAACTCCGGGGAAAAAAATGAGATCAGCCGAGAGGATTATGCGTGGGAAGCGGCGAGCGATTGTTGTATTTCGCTCGACGGCGCGGCGCAGGCAATGACCGCGCGGCTCGGCCAGAATGGCGCAGCCCTGAATGAGCTGCACTGCCCTTAATCGCGAACTCCATGAAATGTCATATCACGCTCTCCCCTCCCATTGAATGGAACCCTATCTCCCATGGATTCGAATGGAGCCTTTCCCCCGGAGAAGATTCTCCGTGTGTCCGAAAAAAAGGACCGTGAGCGGAATCAGCATTCAGGGAGGGTGGTGGAACGTCCCGGGAAGTCTTGAGCCGACCATGCGGCGATAGTCCCCTACCTAGCTCCGAGTTCCGGCATCTCACCTCGGCGTGAAGGGTCTTGTGAGTTGACAGCCCCATTCTTTGGGCGAGCCTGCTCTGGAAGCGTGCCCGGATCCACGGAGATTCAGATGTCCCTTCGAGCACTAGGTCTGTATAAAGATCTGTATAAACTTAAGGTGGATATTTTGCGCCATATCCGACGCGCTCCTTGTCATTGAGATCGCTCCGCTTAGCCACCGCATCTTGAACGACGCGTGAAAATCGCACGCGAAATGACAAAGTTGTACTTCTTGGATATTCTCGGCATCGATATTTCCCTCCGGATGGCCGAGTCGTGATCGGAATCGATTTCTTGGAGTGAACATTGCCTCTTCGAGAACGTCGCAGGGTCTGCGATCCGCCAGGAGACGGCGCAGAAAAGGGGAATCGAGAATTTCGTGCGTTCGCGAATCATTTACCGTAAGTCGGAGGTTGGACCACGAGCAAGGTCGTCATCGAAGGTCAATGTCGATCTCATTACGTAATCTAAAAGCGCTCTCCGCTTGGTTTCCCACGCTACGTAATATTCTCTTTATTCAAAGGTTGTCAGCGACACGGACAGGTTTGTTGATCCGTCGATGGCCCCGGGTATGTCGAGGGGAGGACGGATGACCGGTCCTGGGCAACGCAGCTCTCTGGAGGGGCTAAGTGATATTTTTGCGTGGCTCGGAACAACGTGCACGATATGAGAGTTGACCTTTGGCATGAGGGGTGCCGCGACGAAGTGGGGTTGGCTGACCGCGACCACTACGACCACTTGGTGGTTCCCCATGAACTCTCTCCTGGCCTTGCCCTCGCCGGCATAGTGGTCGGCACCTTGCACAGCCACCACCTCCACTACCAAACGGTAGAAAGCCCACGAAACGCTGTGAACGACCGCTTATTGTTTCGACCGAGATCCTGCCACTCTCTTGCTGATCTCATTACTTCTACCGCCCTCGTAGAGTAGATTCCACCCGCAGCCTGAACCCAAAATTAACTTTCTTCCGCGGAAAACCTGTTTCATTGTATGTCTTCATCAGCCCCCTTCACGCCTCATTCGAATCGAATCGTCTTCCTACAATTTTTCTGTATCCGCCGTTGATACGCGCCACTTCCAGAGCCGTGTAAGACCAATTGCGTCAATGCTCGCGGATGTTGTCCCAGTCAGTGCTCCATCACTCTTGTGCATAAGTGTTCACCATGGATTTCGTGCTCAGCATCTTGGGAGGTTTGCATCGAAAACTAATTTTTCACACTCAACCAACTCAACGCAAGAGCACAGTAGCTCAGGGGCCGGGTGTGAACCCAGTAGGAATAACGTTCGAAGCAGAAGTTGACATCGGGGAGCCCGGACCGTCGTCTTCAAGAGTTTCCTTAGAGCTCACGGAGCGATGGCGGTCGTCGAGCATTAGCAAGGACAGTTCGGTGGCTCTACCATCGGAGGAATCCGTCGAGACAGCTCCGCTTTCCACGGTTGAAAGCGATGGAAGCTGTCGAGGTTATCCTCTTGTTCTGAACTCAACTCGCGGTCTGCGTTTACTCGCAGAGCCTCAGAGTACCACGAGTCTCGGAAGAATCACACCATCTAGCAATGGAGAGTTTTCTACGAAGAGCAAATCGAGTTTTACATCGAGGAGCCTGCGGAGGGTTAATCTTCAGCATTTCCTGCGACTCATGAACGGCTTCGGACCCCAGGAGCCTCATATGAGCCCAAGGAGTAGAAGACGGAGAAGTCTCAGCAGATTAATCGGGGAGGACGCTTCTCCGGAGACCGTCGTAGATATGGAGCCAAGGAGACACGCTCCGAAGTCCATGGTGTGCACACCAGCATTCATCAACAAGGTAACACTGCGAACACTTGCGGGGGTTTGCGAGAGCAACCGAACAGCGCTGAGAATCTATCCATATTACCTGAGGGGAGGTCCCCGCCAAGATTTTACAGCTCACAGAAGGCCATGTGAGACGCTCGAATAAATAGAAAATGGGCCTCCCAATCTCCCAACCCCAATGATGGAATGGGAAACCATTCACCAGTTCATCGAGACTCCCCCGTTTCAACAACTCTCTCTGATTAGAAGCTTGATCCTCCCTCACGTCCCAACGCAGATGACGAACGCGGTGGCGGACACTCCTGTCAGCCCGAGCCCGATCGCGGTACTCTTTGTCAAACGTGAAACTAGAATATATACGGACTTTCACAAGAGCTTGCGTTCCCTTTCGACTAAGGAGCTTCCTGGAGTTCGAGATATATTCATGAAGATTGGCCTCTTTGATTCGCATCGGGATCACCGTAGTCATTCCGCTACCCTAGTAGCGCCATTTCATACATCGCATCGGACAACGCGCCAATTCAGCCAGGCTCGAATTTCGCCGTGCGCGTCTCGCTCAACTAGTCATCGCTGAATATAGAGGCAGCCTACCGACGCCTAAGTTATACTCCACTGTTGCGTTCACCCAAAACTAGAAAATGACAGACAGCTCTTGTCGACTTCATTAAGGTAGGCGGTGATCCCTCAACATATCCAACGCTAAGAAAAATCCCTTTCTCTGTTCAACAAAGGTATTTCTGAAAGACGGAGTGCACGTGATGCAGCACAACGCAGAAAACTCGCTCGTCGACTACTCCGAGAACAATTTCGTCCAGGACTGTCTATTTTGGCACAATCATTTCCGGCGGAAACATCGCGCTCCTTTCGTGCAACTGTCTCACGCAGTAAGCGTACCGCTCTCTTAGAGCTGTCTCATATCCGTAGGCAGATCCATTGCGTAGGTCGCTTGATCGTAGCAAACACCTTCCTTGACCTCTTCTCCTTCAGGCGCAATCCGATAGTTGGACTCGAGTACTGTGATTTCCGACGTCGCTCGGGAGCGAATTCAAGCAACTGTTTTCGATTCTAATATTGTTTTTCTGATCGCCCTCGAAGCTCTGCGACCAAGCTCAGCAAGTGGCTAATGCGATCGCACACACGAATGACTGCTATTATCGGAAGTTGCGAGACATCGGGCAGAACCTCTACGTCCAATCATCGTACACCGATGAGAACTTCGATGTCAACGGTAAGCCATGCATGTCAGGACGGTGTCTCGTAGGGTGGCGGGAGCTAGCGCTCTGATTGGCCATCGAATTAAAAGGACTCCCGAATCTGAGGGAAGTCTACTTCAGGTGAAACCGTGTGCAAGAGGTGGTACTCAGAACAAAAATGCTACGACTACTATTACCACAAGGAGCTCCTTCATACCCAGGCCTCGAGATTCACTCAGATGGTTTGGAAGAGCAGTCAGAAGCTTGGTATCGGGAAAGCCACAATCGCAGGTGAGAACTTTGTTCGTATCTGCCGAGCGCATCTTTGGAGATTCGGTTTATCGGTCATGCTCTTCTGGGACCCCTTGCTTTCCAGCGGGAAAAATCATCGTAGTGGCCCTGTATAAACCTGCAGGAAACGTTGCCGGCGAATTTCACAACAACGTGTTCTCACAGCCAATCCGGAGGACGGCGTCTTCACTCGGAAGCGCGGGGACGTCTGCAGTCCAGTCTGACGAAGAGTCGTCTCTGAACTCGGTATTCTGAGAAAAAAACATACAATGTCTGGAGAGGGGTGAAATTGAGTGAGATAAAGAATGCCGAAATTCTCTCATCATCGTCAATGAAAACACTTGTCTGCCATCCGGAAACGTTTACTTGTCATATTCTCTTTGGACGCTGCTCGTCAAAATTTCAGGGCGATCGAGGAACTAGCTATCTCGATGCCCCTCCTCGGAAGCAGAGAGTCACAAGGCTCTCTCTGGTACAAAGTGGTCACAATAAAGCTTCAATGAAACGAGGAGTGACAGCGTATGGAGCATAGCGGAGCAAACACAAATATAAGCCCGCGAGGAGAATGATGGTGAATAACGTCGTCTTCACTGTATCACTCGTTTCTCTCTAAACAACAACTCTCTAAACAAGAATTATGCATAAGATTCACGGAAGGGAGATCGCAGAATGGATTATGAAGCCACCGGTGCGAGTGTCCCAGCTGAGCAAGGCTTTGCCCAACCATTCGAGCTCAATCCTCCATACATTTGAGCTTGGGGCTGACCTGTGAGAATAGAGAAATTACCCTCAATATGAGATACTCAAGGAATCATTCACCGGTCAGGCGATGCTCTCACGGTGGAGATTATAAGAGCTTACCTCGAAGTCAGCGTCTGTACATTCCCTCAACTCGTCGAGGGTGAGGTCTTTCGAGATTTCAATCAATGTCAGTCCGGTGGATTTGCTCACGTCGAACACGGCCTAAAAAATCAAACCCCGATCAAATATATTTCGGAACGCTGTGGAATCATAGGACAACCATCGGGCTCCTCATCAACCTTTCCAAGGTTCTGAACCATGAGATAAGAATCAGGTGGCTTTCCTGCCTATGACATGTTTCTCTGGCAGCAGAACGATGAAGGCCGAATCCAAAGCCTCGTTCCACTGGATCCTCATAAAGCGTCATCTCGCTCCAGCCTACCAACGAATGCTGTTGCACTCATTACGTCACCAGCCAACCGTTTCTGCTACGTGCTTTGGAATTTTTAACAAGCAGGCTCCGAACTCTGAAAAGGTAGTCCGCTCGATCCGCGAGTGCTCTCGGAGTTTCGTTCACACAAGGACCGAATGTAACGATACGGCTCGCTTCTTGCGCTCTACTCTTGGCTCGCTCTTCGCATACACGGAATCGTTTTCTCTTCCAGTTTTGGGGGGAGAATGGATCGAGTTCAACAGGCTGCTGAAAGATCCCAGAGGGAGAAGGGCTCCTGGCAAAGTTATCAGAGTCACGCGGAGCATTCGACATACTTAGCTGATTTTCTGCGAAGAGGGAAGGTCTAAGGGAAATAGTCGAAGAAACAGTTTGTGTCCGCGGTCGGAATCGCTTGGGCATAGACCCAGAACCCGACCCGTGCGTTCCCTCGAGCGTAATTTAGTCCAACGTTTCGCATAAACGATTCAGAGCGAGTCGCAACGGTTGGACGATGCACTGCGGCTCTTTCAGGGAGCCCCTGGATAGACCGCAGTCACCCGGGCTCCTGACGCGTCCCATGCGCCGGGAATTCGAGGGGTATTGGGGCGAGGTGGAGTCCCGGAAGGAACCGGGCCCATCATCAGAGTGAGCTACGTTACTTCATCTTGTTTCATTTACGGCCTTGGACCTCGATTAGCGAACCTTCTCAGTGATGATTCTGTCTACACAGCGCTGTCCCGTGAGCGGTAGACTGCAGGTCTTGACGATCTTCGCGCTACCGTCTTTGGCGTTGTGTTCCATAGTGACGACGACACGTGTTCCGGCGGCCGCGGACGCAACGAGGTCCATGGCACCGCCCATACCAGTTATCTTTTGTCCCTGTAACATGAAAGGTAAGTGATTCTGAGAGCTCTCTATATATGACAAAAGGTTGCTCTCTCGGGGCCTTTCCGAGCGCACACGGAAAACGATTCGGTGAGCTCTGTCACGCGGAGCCCCCGAGGGATCGTTGGATGCAACGAAGATGGATCTCTGATTCTTTGCGAGATTGCCGATAGCGTGACCCGTCAAACCGGAAAATAGAAGCACGTGAGCGAATTCTTCTGTTGAACCTCGCCTTCATCGGTACAGTCATTGAACGACGCGGAATTCTAAATCAGTGGTCTCGGGCTCCACGGGGAGAGTGAGATAAGTGCTTGCTGAGGGTGGTTCACCGGTGTGTGACGGACAGCCATAACAAAAGTGGCCTTCGGAGTTGAAGTCACGCTTCTGACTGAACTATATAATCCGGCTCGTTCGAACACTGAACTAGCATGCACTATGCATCTGCCCATATCCCGATCCCTTGCACTTACGGGAACGATCCAGTTGGCGATATCGCCGTTCTGAGACACCTGCATGCCGCCCAGCATCGTCAAGTCCAGATGACCCCTGAAATTACAGAGGTCATAACTCATGACAGGTGGGGTTCTCACTGCTTCTATCTATGCATCTATGTACATATTATTGCCTAGCAAAAAAATGCCGATGAGGCGAAATAAATAAATGAATTGAAATACTCCGGAGGGTATCGACAGACAGCGGTTCGCCTGAGCAGCGGCACTCCGGAATCGTACCTCGAATTTTTTTCGTTTCATCAGCTCAAGCTAGGTATCAACGAGGTACAACCGACTCTTCGTCGGCGAGGACACCCGGCCGACCTCGGGTGTTCAATATACGTGGTTTCTCATTACCACCTAGACCGGAGTGTCAGCGGACCCTTATTGTCCATCTACTAGTCATTAGTGTCTCCCAGAAACTGTTTGTATGCTCCGGCGACCACAACAGAGCAGCTCCCAACTTCGCAGGCGATAATGAGACTAGGTGAAGTCAGTTCCAACGCTAGCGAAGACGGACATGAGGCCTGCTCGGAGAACAGCTCAAGTATCTGGGGTACCCCAAGAGCTCACTCCGACGTTTGAGGAATTCAGATCGAAAAGATCATATCTTACCCTCGGATGATAGCGAAAGACTCTTCGGTACCGAAATACGCAGCCCCAGGGATGGCCGTGACGGTCTCTTTCCCGGCGTTCGTGAGATCGGGATCGACCTCTTTTTTCCCGGCTGGGTAAGGACCCTGGGAAGCAATCGGGCTCATTGCAAACTGGTTCAAAGAATTCAGGAGATCGTTCAAGCTGGTAGATTCGAGCCTCATTTTGGAATCACTCGTCGAGAAAATTACCAATCCTATGATTCCATTCTCTCCATGAAGAAACACTTTTGCGTCCTCCGGAATATGATTCGCGGCGAGAACAGGAATTCCGATTCCCAAGTTCACGAACATGCCGTCTTTGATTTCTCTGGCCGCCCTCAGAATGATTCGTTCCCGGGACGATGCACTCGTCTTGGCATTTGATTCGGCGGGTTTCGCCAGCCGCATTTTCTGCGGGATCGAGGAACAAATTATCGCTCTCGCTGAGGAATCTCTACGCTCCCGCCAATTCGCAGGTCCTCTCGAAGAGAATAATTGGAGAATAATTATTCAATCGACAACATTCCGCACGCGACGAACCTCACAGCGGCGAACGAAGTGATTGGGTTTGTATATCCGGTGAACGTATATCGACGGTAGTTGAATGTGTTCTCCTTGCAGTTCTCCTGCGTTCACGATCTCCTCGACCTGGAAATCATGGGGATGCAGATCTACACGCACTATTATGTATTAATCATCGGCGCGAGGAATAATTAATGTGTCGGCATTAAGTTGTGAGAAATTCATAATGAGGTTCCTCTATGCTCCCTGTTGCTTCCCCGAGCCAGAGCCTCTAATTACCTCTACGATGACGTTCTTCGCTGCTTTCGCGATGACAGGGTTGAGATTTGTTGCTGTCTTCCTGAATGTAACGTTGCCGTTCGTATCGGCTTTATGGCCTCTAACCAGGGCGAAGTCTGCGTGGATCGCTGTCTCCAGGACGTAACCTCGACCGTTGAACTCTCGGCTCTGGAAAAGAAACGCTTTTCTCTCCAAGTGTCACAAGATTCGACGACCGAGCTTCACGAGGACTGAATCGGCCGCAGACTGTACCGAATCGCTCCATGCATCCGGGTTTTCTTATTCAAAGAATCAAACCTCTTTGGGCTCGCTAGCCATGGTGATTTTTTTTCCATCGTCTTCATACATCATCGGAAGGCCGCCTTCATGCACCATGGTTTTGTAACCCGTGGGAGTATAGAACGCAGGAATTCCGGCCCCAGCTGCCCGAATCCTTTCGGCGAGAGTTCCCTGAGAAGAAGCTCCATCATTAGGCGAGCGATGACCTTGATGGTCATTCTACGTATCCGTGCTAACGAGAATGAGTGCCCCTATCCGATTGCGTTTCGACCGATTCGAGGATCGGGAACCTCGTCAACGATCATTATTCGGCTATTGTGCAAACGACCATTCGATCCGTACCTGAGGAACCAATTCAACCTCGAGCTGTCCTCCCAAGAACTTCTCAAATATGTTACTGTTTTCTCCGATGTATGAAGTCACCAGGCGTTTGACCATACCCGCTTTGATAAGCTCTCCGACCCCACAGTCGCTGAGCCCTCCCGTTATGGAGACGATGGTTAGGTTACGAACTTTACTGTTGGACAAGTGTCGGATGAGATTCTCGGGTATTCCACAGATGCCGAAACCTTGAGGAAAAATGAGACGTTGATTATGATGACGGAATTCAAACTGAAATTCCGACGATTGTAAGATATCATCGGCGGTGGCGGCTTACGGCAACGCTCGGACGCTTGTCTTATCTCCTCGAAGGAGACCTTATATCTACTGTATTGTCTGGTCAGGGTCTAGTGCGCGCTCTCGAGGAGGAGGTTTCATTACCGGTTTCGTATTTCCTTTCGGCAGTGTCTTAACTCCCCATCATTACAACCATGATGCATTTGACCTCGTCGATCGCCGATTGGAAAGCATAGAAATCTCCCCATTCCTCCCGGAACGCTCGCTTCCACAATGATTCCCGTTCTCGACCAGGAAACGAATCCGTTGTGGATACGTATCTTACGCTCTGCCTGCGGTCTCCGACTTACCTCCGATCATTATGGTTTGCCCATCCTTGAGCCCCTGGAGAGCCTCTGCCGGGCTCTGACATCGGGCTGCTCGTCGACTCACGGGGGTCGAGCCCAACTGGAAACAATTCGAGGGAGTTAACTGACAGATCCATGAAGCTCTTATCATGAACGTTCTGTGCAGAGTCGACGCGCGCTGTAGAATCAGGCCTAGTGAAGGATATTCGGCTCTGGTGGTCTGATAGAAATTCGCCACGTATTCGTTATACTATCAAACATAATATTTTCCGCAATGAGAAGTTTCTTTTACCCTGCACACCACGGTGAAAATATAAGTGCTCTTCACATTGAGGAGTCTAAAAGCAGCGCCAGGTATCATCATCGAAGCTTATTCCGCTGGATCGCGAGACCACTACATCACAAGATCACGCCCTCCGGAGAAGTCACAGGAACACCGCCTCAAACAGCCATTCAGAGCTCTCAAAAAATCGAAGAAACACTTCCGAACATGGCCCGCTGCGAGCACCGATCGTCACAGCTGAGAATGTTATTGACTGAATAGCTGCCACAAGCTCCTGAGCCACGCTGCTGGGATCTCCGCCTGTGTCGCTCGCAGAGTAAGCGCGATACTCTCCAGGCGGTGGCGTCCGTCTGCCATAGTGGGTCAGAGGCGATGGATGGATATATTTTGCGTAGTATACGGCATGCCTCGTCGCCCGAAATCCCCACGCACCGAATGCGTAATATATTTTCATTTTGAATTGGAATTGGACAGACTTCGAAACTTGAACGATTTCTCAGTGTGGGGCTCTGAACACCGATATCGACCCCCAGCCATTTTTGACAAACCTCGTGATTCAAGCTAATCCGTACTCGAGAATTATTTAGGAGAGCATTTTAGGTACAATCAGTGGAGTACCGTCGGCTAGATCGAAGCGAAAACCAGCGATAGAGATCGGCGGCTTCCCTTGACGTCGCGGGTCGGCTCTTCGGCGCGACGTCATGAGATGAGTGACGAGTAGCTGCGCTGGTGGCGCATCAGTAGAGTTTCTATTCTACCGGACACGTCCGGTTCCTGTCCTTTTGTCCGGTTTCGTGCTGTTCGGTAGGAAATGTCCGGTTTCCCGCTTTTCGGGAGAAATCCAGTTCCTTGAGTTATAATATTCCATAGGTTCACTCGATAATCTCGTTTCCGGAGTGTTTCTCATCCACCGGTTGAGCGCCGAGTCATGAAACTATGACCGAAAGCCCCAGCGAGCCTAGGATTCCATAATTTCACGCTGTAGATTGACCCGAGCAGGGATGCGATCGACGCTATCTCCCTCCCCCAGACTCTCTTTGAATTGTTGGCATGTGGTGCACTGCAGCACGCAACCCTTTGAAAGCGATGATGTCGCACGTCGAGACCGTCACCACGCTACGCTGTCGCACCATGCGGCAAATCTTCAGCGACTGATTTCTAACGAGAACAGAGTGTTGTTTCATCGATACGCCAGTGGTGAACGTGCAATCAAGCCTCAAGCTCCGTG